CCAGGCTGCTGAGTACAACGTGTGAGCTACGGATGGTTGCACTGTTCTTACCGCGAAGGCGGAGGAGAACTGCATGCTCTGTGCTGCACACCTTACAAAACAATGGACATTCTTTCCRTACCTCTTGGATGGTTTTCCCCTGCTTYGCAACCCCTTGGCCTGCTGCTGTACGCTTTCGAAAAGACTATAAAGAGTCTCTCTGAAAAGACCCCGACGAGATCTCCCCAATGGACTTCAACAAATCCATGGAATCCGGACCGCGAGGACTCGTCTGAGCTGTTGGTAGCTATAACACCACTCTCTCTCACTTTCTCTCTTTTTCTCCCTCTCACCCTCTTTTATTGCGTAAATCCAATAAAATTGTTCATGMTTTTGAATAYATACCTGCCCCTCATTTCTTTTGCACTCTGGGATTCAGATAATGAACCATCACGACTTCTGCTTGAATTAAGTGGATTGTGACATGCATTCATTATTTTTCTTATTTATAATATTACTATTCCATATTTTTATTAATTTTATATGTATAATAAAAATCTGTATTCTTTTAGCAACCAAATAAATTATTGTTCTTTTGGTCTAAGTAACACAATTGCCTTCATTAATTAATTAACCTATATTGGTAATTGATTTCTCCTTCTTTATGCTAATTAGTCCTGTTTTTAGACCTTTTGTTATCTTTCTTATCATCTTTTTCTCAGACAGCTTCAAGAGGTGTACTTCGGGTTCCAGTGAGACATTTATTGCACGGATTTGGGGCAGTTTTGGGYCTGGGGAGGGAATTAAAAGGGAACATAAGGGTCGGGAGGACACTTGAAGGGGTCGAGTGGGAACTGTGGRGGGTACTGAGGGATCCTGAGGGATAGTTTGGGGTTCAAGGGAAACTTGGGGGTGTAGGGTGGCACTTGGGGGTCAGAGAGGGGAATTTGGGGGCCTCTCGGGGTCGGGGAGCGCACTTGGGGGAGGTTACAATGGGGCTCGATGAGGCGCGGGGCATGAGAGTGGTAAGCGCAGCCATAATGGCATTTTGTATGGCACGAAACATGACGGGAGATGAAATCTCGGCTGTAGTGGTACTCTATGGGCGCCGCGGAGCATGATGGGAGTCGTAGTCCCGAAAGTGGCTCTAATGCGGGACCCAGGGAGTTACTTGTGGGGGCGAGTGGCCCCTTCGGGTTCTCAGAGGGCACCTGCAGGGAGCCAATGGGGTCGGGAAGCCCTTGGAGAGGCACCTGGGGAGCTGAAATGGGTGTCTTTGGGGAGCGGAAAATGACGGGAATTGCAGGGGCAGAACTGGGTTGTGTCGGGACTCTGCGGGTCGCGGGGGAAGATGGGAGGTTGAAGCCCGGCTATAATGAGGATCTGCGGGGCGCGGTGCATCACGGGAGATAACTCCCGGCTGTAATAGTCCGTAGGCGCCGCGGTGCATGATGGAAGTTATAGTCCCGGAAGCCTTTCTAACGGGGCACATGAGGGTCTGAGCGGCCCTTCGGGTATTCAAGAGGCATCTGAAGGGGAAATTATGGGGTCGGGAAGGCCTTGGGGGGCACTTGAGGCTCTCTAACGATGGATCTTTGGTGCCCGGGGCATGATGGGAGTTGCAGGCACAAAACTGTGTTAGGTGGGCTGTATGGCCGCGGGGTATGAGGGGAGATAAAGGCCGGGCTATCATAAGGCTCAATGGGACGCGGGGCATGACGGGAGCTGAAGGCCCAGCTTTGATGGCGCTCAATGGTTACCGCGGTGCATGATAGGAGCTGTATCATGATAGCACGCCCGGAAATGGCGTGCCTAGGCGTCTATGGGGTTGGGCATTTGGGGGTCCGGGAAGGCGTTTGGGGGTCTCCAATGGGGCACTTATAAGTCCTAGGGGGTCTGGGGGGCGCTTATGAGTACAGGGAGAATATGACCAGGTGTCTGTGGGACGATGGGTATGACGGGAGTTGTAGTCCTGACTATAATAGGGCTCAATAAGGCCGCGGGGCATGACGGGAGTTGTAGGCAAAGGAGATATAAGTGGTGTTTTACAGGCCCCGCCCCCCTGCGGTGATTGTCTGAAGGCGGTGACGGGCGCGCGCCGCAGTTAATAGAGGTGGCAGAGGCGGGAATATCCCATTCAACCCCCCTCCCAGTGTCTCCCAGTACAGCCCAGGATAACCCCAGGGTCCCTCTAGGCCCTCTTAATACAGCCCACTGTCCTTCCACAGTATTCCCAGCGTCCCCAGTATATCCCAATATGTCTCGGTGTCCTCCAGTATGCACCAGTTCACCCCAGTGTCACTCCCAGTATGTCCCAGTCCTCCTCAGTGCTCTCCACAGTTCACCCCAGTGTCCCCAGCCTGTCCCAGTCCCTCCCAGATGAAATCTCAGTGTTGGCCCCGCCCCCTCCCAGTTCCTTCCCCATTTCCAGTTCCCCGTGGCTGCTCTGGGAAGGTGAGTGGGACCCCCAGTGCATCCCAGTACCTCCCAGTTATTCCCCAAGGGACCCCCAGTACCTCCCAGTTTGCCCAGTCCGGTCTGCTCAGGATTCTCAGTGACTCCCTCTCCCCTCCCCCCTCCACGGGTCAAAGGTCACGGCATGAGGCCGGAAAGCCTTGGGATGCTGGTGATACTGGGAGTGACTAGGAGAGACTGGGGTGGGAACTGGGATGAACTGGGAGGTGCACTTTGTTGATTTTGGGGGGAGCTGGGAGGAACTGTGCCCCCCCAAACTGGTTTAACTGGTGTCCCCTCCCCTCCTCCCAGTTCTGTCCCTGGCCAGAGAGGACCCCCCCCTGGTGAGTAACTGGGACAAACTGGGATAAACTGGGAGGAGGGAGGGGTGGTACTGGGGGGGGGGGTCATACTGGGAATGGACTGGGCCATACTGGGAATAGGGGGGGTCATATTGGGAATGGATTGGCCCATACTGGTTTATACTGGAAGGAAACCATACTGGTTTTAGTGGGATAGGGGATTCATACTAGTTTATACTGGTCCATATTGGTTTATACTGGGAGGGAGGATTCACACTGGTCCATACTGGTCCATACTGGTTCATACTGGTTTATGCTCATCCACAGTGGTTCATGCTGATTTATACTGGTCCAAACTGGTTCATACTGGGAGGTGGGATCCATACTGGTTTATACTCATCCATAGTGGTTTATACTGGGAGGAGGGGTCTATACTGGTCTATACTGACCCCTCTGACCCCTGTCCCTTTTCTCCCACCAGATACCACCAATCCCTTCCAGTATGGTGAGTGCAGGGAACTGGGAGGGACTGGGAAGGACTGGAAGTGTCCCCAAGGTGTCCCCAGCTGTCCTCAAGGTGTCCCCACTGTCCCCTCCCCAGACTGGCGTCACCTGCGCATTGGTGGCCTCATGGTGGCCGTGGTGCTGAGCATCCTTGGGGTCCTCGTCCTCTTCAGTGAATGGTACCTGTGATGTTACCTGTGTCACCTGTGTCACCTGGTGTCCCCAATGTCACCTGCATCACCTATGTGTCACCCCTAATTGTCACCTGGGGGGGTCCCCAATGTCACTTGTGTCACTTCTGTGTCCCCAGTGTTCCCAATGTCACCTCGGGGGTCCTGATGCCACCTGGGGGGGGTCCCCAATGTCACCTCAGTGTTCCYGATGTCATCTTTGGGTCCCCAATGTCACCTTTGTATTTCCTCAGGTGGGAAGTGCAAGTGCCAGAGCAAGGCCAGGGGGAACTTGAGGACATTTGAGGACACTTTGGGAGGATTGGGGACATTTGAGGACACTGAGGGGACACTTGGGGGGTTTGGGAGGATTAGGGACATTGGAGACACTTTAGGGACTATGGGGACATTGGGGTTTGGGGATACTTTGGGGAAACTTTGGGGACATTGAGGTGTCCTCCCCTGACCCCTCCCCCTCCCCCCCGCAGCCACTGGCCACCCCTCTGCACCCCCGGAGATGTCACCCCTGGCTGAGACAGGTGAGGGCCCCCTTCCCCCCTTGAGGACAACTGGGGACCCTGGGGACAATGTGGGGACAATGGGAGGGACCTTGGGGACAATTGGGGATGATGGGGAAGATCCTGGGGACAATGGAGAGGACAAAGGGGAGACCTTGGGGACTTTGGGGACAATGAGGGTGATGCCTTTGGATTTTTAGTTTCTATATTTTCATGTATCTGTATTCTCGTACTCCTCCAGTGTACAGCACGGAGCTCATGTTCTCCCATCTTCAGACAAAACAATTCCTCTGTAGGCCTGAAAGCCAAAGACATCTTGCTGCCTCAGATCGCAAAATATGGAAACAACAGAGAATTGGGGGGGAAGCAAGTTTGGGGTGGTGAGCCTTGTTTTAGGCAACAAGGGGTCATTGCCACTCCTGACCCCTCCCTCCTTTCTCCACAGGAGCCGTCTGCTTGTGCTGAGCTGTCACCAAGTGTCCCCAAGAGATGATAGTGGTGGGGGAGGGGCTGGGTTTATTTTCAGGCCAAATCCCCCAGAAATGTCCCCAAATGAATAAAAAAGGTCACAAAAAGGGACTTTGGTCATTGGGGGAGGGGCGGCATTTGGGGGGGGACACAGGGACAGTGGGTGGGGGCAGCAGGGAGATGATGACAGCAGGAGGGACATGAGGCCCACGGTGACACTTGGCATGACGGCGGCCATGGGGACATCAGAAGGATGGTGGCATCTGGAGAGGATGAAGTGACCCTGGGTTGATGGTTGCCTTGGGGACATTGGCCAATAGTGACATTGGGGACATCAGGGTGATGGTGGCACCAGGAGGGGACAGCCACCCACAGTCACCCTCAACCCCCTCTCCCATGTGAGGTTATTTGGGCGGGGGTCATGCAGGTTTTGGGGATACCTCTGGGGACATTTTGGGAACACTCCTGGGGACATGTGCYTTTTCAAATCAAAGTATTTTACTTGTTAATAAGCCCAAATTAATTAACTGGAGTGTTAATTAACGTGCCACAGCACCACTGCCATGGGGGTGACATCACAACCCAACAATGTCCATCAGCCCAATTCATGACGACTGGGTCGTGTCATAACCCAATGATGATGTCACCACCTCAATCCACAGCCATGGGGATGACATCATGACATGACAATGAAATGTTGGGTCAGCGTGGTTGAGGGTCTTGGGGTCAATGGGGTCACCAGGGGTGGGGGTCTTGAAGATGCTGGGGTTGGTCTTGGGGTCAGTGGGGTCAATGGGGTCAATGGGGCTGATCTGGAGGTCAATGGGGTCAACAGGGGTTGGTCTTAGAGCCAAGAGCGTCAACCTAAGATTACATCACTACCCAACAAGGGTATCATCACCCCACCCCATGGCCATGGGGATGACACCATGAGCCAATGATGACATCACCAGTGCAATCCGCAGCAGATTTGATGATGTCATGATCCAACGATGACATCATCACCCCAACCCACAGCCAAATTAGCAATCCCATAGCCCAACAATGACATCACTGCCCCAACCCATGCCCCAACAACCTCCTCTCTGCCCCCCCACCCCTTCACCCCCTCCCCCTCACCCACCACGCCCTCACTGTCCCCCCTACCCCTGCCAGTGCCCGGCGGACAGCGCCAGATGAACAGTAGAAGACAAGGGGGTCGATGGCAGCATTGAGACTGCTCAGCAGTGTGGCGTAGACGCGCCATGGGGGGCTGCGACCGTGGGCAAAGCCCACCACATGCGACACGTTGTAGGGGGCAAAGCAGAGGCCAAAGATGACCACAGAGGCCACAGCCAGGCCTATGGCCCGGCGGCGCTGGCCCCGTGGCAGTGCTGGCCRTGCCAGCAGCACCCGGATGAGGCCAGCATAGCAGAGGGCGGTGACAGAGAAGGGCACGAGGAAGAGGACGAAGAAGAACTCGAGGCGCAGTGGGAGCACGAAGCGCAGCTGGGCCGCTGAGAAGGCATCGTAGCAACGGGGCAAGGTGGGGCTGCTCTTGGGGTCAGTGGAGTCAGTGGGGTCGGGGGTCTTGGGGGTTTTGGGGTTTGAGGTCTTGGGATCAATGCGATTGGAGGTCTTGTGGTCAGCAGGGTCAGCGGTCCTGATCCTGGGGTCAGTGGAATTGATCTTGGGGTCAATAGGGTCAGCAGGGTAGGGGGTCTTGGGAATTTTGGGATTGGAGATCTTGGGGTCAATGCAGTTGGAGGTCTTGGAGTCAACAGGGCCAATGGGGTTGATCCTGGAGTCAATGGGGTCAACAGAGTTGGGGGGTTTGGGGGTTTTGGTGTTAGAGATCTTTGGGTCAACGGGGCCAACAGGGTTGGGGTTCTTGGGGATTTTGGGGTTGGAGGTCTTGGAGTCAACATGGTAGGAGACCTTGGGGTCAACAAGGCCAATGGGGCTGATTCTGGGGTCAATGGGGTTGATCTTGTGGCCAATGGGGTTGATCTTGTGGCCAATGGGGTTGATTTTGGGGTCAATGGGGTCAATGGTCTTGAAGATTTTGGGGTTGGGGGGCTTGAGGTTGAGGACCTTGGAGTCAATGGGGTCAATGGGCTTGATTTTGGGGCTAATGGAGTTGAGCGGTTTGGGGTCAATGAGGCCAATGGGGCTGGTCTTGAGGTCAATGTGGTTGATGGGGCTGATCTTGGGGTCAAGGAGGTTAAGGGTTTTGAGGTCAGTGGGGTCAATGGGGTTGATCTTGAGGTCAGCAGAGTCAAAGGGGTTGGTCTTGCAGTTAATGGGGTCAACAAGGCCAACAGGGTTGACCTTGGGGTCAACAAGGTTGAGGGTCTTGGGAGCAATGGGGTCAACAGAGTTGACCTTGTGTTCAATGGGATCAACAGTGCTGAGGTTGTGGTCAGTGAGGTTTGGAGCCTTGTTGTCAATGGGGTCAACAGGGCCATTCGACCCCCCGCCATGGTAGTGGGCCACAAAGACCACAGAGCAGTGGCCTCCAGCCAGCAGCCAGATGGCCGCACTGGCAGCCAGGGCGTGGCTGGGGCGCGGCCGGCCCTGCCCCTTGAGTGGGAAGGCCACRCCCAGGTAGCGCCGGATGCTCAGGGCCGCCAGGAAGAGGCTGCTCAGATACATGCTGGAGTAGAAGCAGAAGTTGGCCACTGGGCACAATGTGGCCGGCAGGGGCCACGCCATCCCGGCTGCTGCCTCAGCCATCTTGAAGGGCAGTGCCAGCAGCAGCAGGAGGTCGGCTAAGGTCAGGTTGAGGAGCAGGAGATCACCCACAGTTGGTCCTGCAGCCGGTTGGCGCCAGGCTTTGGCCACCAGCACAGCCAAGGTGAAGGCATTGGCCGGGAGCCCCACGGAGAAGGTCAGCACATAGACGGTCAGCACCAATGTGGTGGACATGGCAGGGGAGGGGATGCGCCTGGGGGAAGGGGGAGGACATGGTCAGGAGGTGGCTCAGGTGGTCAGAGGGGAGCCCAGGTGGCCCAGGAAGTGACCCAGGAGGTGGCCCAGGAGGTAGCCCAGGAGGTGGCCCAGGAAGTGACCCAGGAGGTGGCCCAGGAGGTCCCAGAAGGTCTCCAGGTGGCTGAGAGGGACTCCAGATGGTCCTGGAGATATTCAGGACATGACTCCAGTGGCCCAAGAAGTGGCCCAGAAAGTCCCCAGGTGCCCCAAGAGGTGCCCAGGTGGCCCAGGAAGGACTCCGGTGGCCCAGGAGGTGCCTAGAAGGTCCCCAGGTGGTCCAGGAATTGACCAGGAGGTTCCCAAGTGTCCCAGGAGGTGTCCCCAGGAGGTCCMAGAACCCCCATCCCCCACACCTACCTGCTCCTCCTGGAATTCCAGATGTGTCCCCAATATTCCAGGAGTGTCCCCAAAATTTCAGGCGTGACCCCAAAATTCCAGGTGTGACCCCCTCCCAAAATTCCCGATGAGGGTGGGGGGAAGGGCTCGGGGTGGGGGAGGGGAGGGGATCCCGCTCTCTGTCCGGGTGTCCCCGAGCTCTGGGTGTCCCCGCCGGGGGTGGGGGAAGGGCGGCGATG